CGGCGATTGAAAAGAAAGAGCTGGGATTTCCACGCGCGCACAGACTCACACAGATTTTTTCCACCCGAAGGGGCGTTCGTTGGGGAAGAGGCAGCTGCCTCGGGAAGTCCGGGGCAAGCGGACCGAGAGGAGAACAGGCAGGCTGGGTGGGGGGATGGGTGGGTGGGGTGGGGGATGGGGGCGAGGGAATGGAGGGAGTGAGAAGAAAGAGTGGCGTGAAAGAGTGGAGCGCCGGGGCGGCACTAAAGGCCAGGAAAATTATGCTAATGAAGACAAAAGATGCTCACAAAAGGGGTCACTCGCCCCCAGACCATCCTCTATCTACCCATCTATATAGGTACAGATAGAGATACTTGTATGCACACGTACAGGCAATGCAAAACCATAATCATGTGTACTCATCTATCTAAACATAGATTCTAAACACACGCACGCACACGCACGCACACACACAAAGAGATGTGTACGATTGTGGTTTGCTGAATATATAGCATTCTTTGGGAAGGGGTTGAAATCTAGAAGTTATGCAAGACTGGGTGGTGGTTGGGTGCCTTCAAGTGATTTCCGACTCGTGGCAACCCTGAGGCGAACCTATCCCTATCATGAGGATTTCGTGGCAAGGTTTGTTCAGAGGAGGGTTGCCTTTGCTTTCCTCGGAGGCTGAGAGAGTGTGACTAGCCCAAGGTCACCCAGTGGGTTTCCAGGGCTGAGCGGGGATTTGAACCCTGGACTCCAAAGTTGTAGTCCAACGCTCAAATCACTACGTCACACTGGCTCTCAAGACTTGGGTATTCCCTAGTATAATAAATAATAAGAAATCCTCTGATCCATCTGCGATCCAGGCCAACCTAGACAGAGCTTTCGAAAGGAGGATGAAAACAATGACATTTCACAATGATGCCCACCTTATATAGACAACCACAGCTGGGTGATCATGTAAGTCTACATGCGTGTTCTTCCTCCAAGGCACACACACCCCTTCATGTGCAAATCGACTTCTACATGTTTAGGATCAAGAAAGTTAGATGGAAATTGAATGCCATTCCTAGAAAAATTCTCTTGGTTCCAAACCCAGTTTAGACCGAATTGCTTGCCTTTTGTCTTTGTTTAAGTCAATGGGAGATAAGTGAGCAGCCATAATCTTCATTTAGCTGTTAGGAAATCCGACTGAAATCTGCGGGATTTGCTTGTGAGTAAATGGGGAAGAAAGGAAGAGGCTAAACACACACACACACACTATACCATCCAAAGCAGGGCCAAGTAAAATAAACACGACTCAACTTCTCAGTAATTCTGAAGTATGCTGAGACTACTTTCTGAAGTGTACCTGAGTTGGGCGGGGGTGTCAGAAACCTATAAATACATTCATAGAAAGTCCAGTATCCCATAGATAGATATATTTCAATATGCATTGTTCGAAATACTCACGGAGGCATTAGCACTACTTTGCGTAAATGTGGATTGGGCTCGGGTATGATGCCTTCTTTGAACGTCTCCTTTTCGCTTTCTTGCTTTCTTTCTCTCTCTCTCTTTCTTCTTTCTTTCTTTCTTTCTCCCCCTCCTTTTTTTGTTCTTCTCTCTCTCCCCCCCCCTCCATTTCTCCATTTCCTTTCTTGCTCTTCCCCTCCATTCTCCAACCACCCTAACACCAGCCTGGCCAATGTTTTTGCTTTTCAAAGGAGGGGGGGAGAAAGATGGGTAAGGGGGGGTTGGAAACAGAGAGAGATGAACTGGGCAGGGAGGGTTAGGCTTGAAAGTAACACAAAGAAGCCTCTGGGCGCGTCAGACATTCAAAGGGACCTTCCTATAATGCCTAGGTGCGAATTTGACAGGCCGGCGCTATGGAAGGTGTGAAAAATACGAAGAGCCCTTTTAAAACCCGCAATGTGGCCTTAGAGCCAAAACAAAGCAAAAGAGGCAAAAAGGGGGGATTGAACACACCAGTACTCCCAGGCCAGGGTATCCCTCTAACGCATACCAATGTTTTTTGTCATTTATGGCTAGGCAAGATTTATGGCTTCATGCACCCATGCTGTAAACAGAGCTCCCCAGCAGAAAACACTTGCTCCGCTTCGCATCTTGAAGTGGCTCAACATGAAAGGACCAGCTGCATTGGCGTAGGAGGGCAGGGAACAGGGGAGGCTCCCCCAAAAATGCAACCGGTAGGCATTTCTGCCACAAAACGACCCCTAGAAAGTTGTGCTGGAAGCCAGGGGGAGATGCCTCCGCTTTGGTCAATGATCAACCCCACACTTTCTTCGGAAAAAAAACTGCTGATCTGACTTTCTCCCTTTTGGCCACCGACTGGGGAGAAACAAAACAAAACACAAAAAGGGCCGGCTCCGAACCGTCTGCTCTTGCGGGGAAGGAAAGACTAAGGAACTTTATTTTGAGGAGCAAAATAAGAAGATGGAAGTGTCCGATCCACGGAAGGAGCTCACCCACATCCACCCAAGACAGCTATCTTCAGTGGCCTGTTAAGGTTACAAAGGACTTTAACGTATTTTCTTATAACTCTACCTAATGTTCTGATGCATTTGCTCTGAAAGCCTGCTTTATTTTTTTTCCCCTTGAATGAAACGCGACTACAGGATTTCTGCTTTTCAAGAAAGGGTATTTCAAGGCCTAAATATTAAAATTAAATTGGTTTAATAGATGAGATTCTCTCACACTCGCCTCTCCTCCTATCCCAATGTATACTTTCTAGCTAGTTTCCACCACACCCCTGGCTCTTCTCTTTCCCTGACTGTACTGTGGTTTTTTAAAATATATATAATAATTGATGGATTTTATTTGACGACACCCATACCTAAGTGCGTTTGTCTTCTTCACCCGTCTAAGGAGTCGCTGGGTTTGGATTTACGCCTATTGGGACTAAAACGGCATAAATCCAAGTGTTTCCAGTTAACTAGGTTTTACCGAGCATGACATACCTATTTAAGAATCCTTTCTTTCAGGGAAAAGAAAAAGTACAACAGACACTTTTCTCGCTCGCTGGCTCTGTATATATATGAGAAAATTATTCAGAGTCACTGTGGGACAAAAGACAAGAAAGCAGCGGATAGACAGACGTTCCCTCTGAATTCATTACAGGAAGAATGGCGGTGGTTGGTAAAGACCCTTGATAAAAATCCAATTTCAAGACGCCTCATAATTCGAGCCCCAATTTGGTTAGCTGGAAGGAAGTGCCACGGAATTCTGTGGCAATTGCTTCCCGGTGAGAGTCCTTAAGACTCACAGTTCCAAAACTGGACTATCTCCAGATTTAAGATACAGCTCCCTTATCACTGTTTATTTTCTCCACCACCAACCCCCACATAACTACTATTGACATTTCCTTTTGTATTTACTCAGCATTTTGTGCGGGTTTACCCTAATCTCTCCACACACACACCGCATACAAACACAGGCACACACCTTTGCCAGCTCCGACCCACACAAAAGCCTTTTTTCACTCTCAAGATCGGGGCTCTTTTATTTATGGCTGCTTTAACTGGGTCAGAAAAAGCACCAGAACAAGATCATAAATCACATAAGACAGTGCCAAAGGAATGGAGCCGCAATTAAGGCTTACTCTGTCTATTATTATTATTATTATTATTATTATTATTATTATCCTATTTTATTATTTTTATTTATTTTTCCAAAATTTTTTACAACTTACATTTTTATAAGAATATCAGTGACCTTATTTTACATTGTCAATATTATTATTATTATTATTATTATTATCATCTTCTTCTCCAGGTTGGTGTTGGTGGCCTATTTTAAGCCAAAGTCTTCCTCCTCTCCCGCCTTTGCAAAATAAAAGCTGCCCTAACATACCAGAAAGAACACAACAGCTGATTTAATGGCACAGATCGGTAGATTATATGTGTGCGTGCCTGTGATGGTTTGTTTTGCATGCATTTCTGGGATGCAATAGATGCCATAATATTTGCAGGAAGGAGAACTGGATTCTTAATCCTTCCAATCTTTGTTTCCTCTCCCTAAAGTCTCTGAGCCTCAATTGAATAATTGCAACTGGCCAGTATAGAAAGTGCGGGGGGGGGGGGGAAGCACAGCAGCGTGTAGGCGAGCGCATTGCCCCCAGCTCACTGGCAACATAAATCAAAAGTCAGCACTCTGACCTCTAGCAATGCTGGGACTCAGTGGTGGATGTAATTTTATATAACATTTGTCCCCTTGTATAACACAAGGAGTGCTTTCATTTCCCGCCGTTATTTAGGGGGCATTTCCCTTCCATAAAACGGAATGAATAGCTGTTCAAGACTTGGTGAGAAGTCTAGGAAAACTAGAGAATATAAAGCTGGGAGAGGGGGGAGAAAGGGGGAGGGAGTGTACCCCTCTTTTCCTTTCCCGATCTCTCTTTAGGCAAACCAATACTGAAGAATCTCAGTATTATGGGGCATGGAGGGAAGATTTATTAAATTCTCAAATGGAAGGTGGAAGAGGAAGAAGAGAGAGACCGCTTGGTTCCTTGCCAAGGTTTCTCGGGCTCTCAGAACCGGCCCACCAGCCAAAGTAAAAGCCTCTCAGCATCACCAATAAAAAGGCATTTCAAAAGCCACTCCGAGGGGTATAGGGTCAGAAAGACACAACAAACCCGAGTCCAAGATCCTGCCCCCCCCC